CGTCTGCCCCACCCCCAGGCCTAGTCCCTACCAACACGCACAAGCTCAGGAGGAGAGCGAGATGCACCCCCTCTCCTCGTCGCAAGAGCCTGGGCCCCCAAATCCCATCCCCTCTCTTCTCCGCCTCTCCTCCCGCCCCCTCACTCCTCCATCCCGCCCCGCAGCGAATAGATCCCTTCCCCCCAGCAGGAGAAAGCGGATCGGAATGAAGAGAAAGCGTCTTCCCAGGGGACACGCCCCGGGGCCAGGAGGTTAGAGGGAGGCGGGGGCCGGGGGATGGGAGCCCAGGCTCCGAGAAGAGGTCAAGCGCCTCGGGGAAGGGGATAGGGAGGCCCGGCAGTTCTTGGCTCCTCACACAGTGGGCGCTCCATAAATGTTGACCGCTGTGACTGTTAAAAAGCCCCTAACTTTAGCCCAGCTTGGGATGGACGAGGCCCTTCCCTCTTCAGATGGGGGCTTCGGCTTCACGAAAAAACAAACAAAAAAAAAGTCCCTACCCTTTCGGGCCTTCCCCAGAGTCAGTCCTGCCTGCTTTTAATCGACACAAAGCCCTGGGACGTTAGAGAAGTGAAATGGCGTCCTGGGCAGTGGGGCCGAGGTGTGGAGGGTTTGAAGGTTGATTTTATTTATGCATTTGAAAAGTTTTGCTGGCCTTCTTAACGTGAGGCTCCGGTTTCACAAGAAATAGTTTTGTCTCTTTTTATTTATTTGTTTGTTTGTTTGTTTGTTTGTTTGTTGTATTTTAAAGTCACTAGGCCGATCAACTCTCCCCTTCCCCTAGGCAAACCAATAAAAATCTGTCCTTAAATTATCGTACTGTTGGTTAATGCTGAGAATTTTATTCGCTGCATTTTCGAATTTCCAAGTTAATATCAAGAGGCGCTTGGGGAAAACTGTCCTAACTCATCTTTGCTTCTCCTAACTCCTTACGGGCACGTAGCTTTCGGCTTCTGCTGGGCACCTAAGTAAATACGCACCCCTTAAACGCTTGGTTTTTGCAAACCTGAGGGCTGATGCTGGTGGTGGATATTCTGTTTCCTCAGGACTCAGTTACCTGGAGGGGGCAGCTTGATGGTGCCAGTTAGAGAGGGGTAAGCGAGCCAATTCAGACCGGCCTGGCCAAACCCACCCGTCTAGCTGTTTGCCCGTCTGTCTGTTTCAATTAGATTCCAGACCGAAGCTCCCGGATCCCTGCTGGCAATAAGAAGTGATCTTCTAAAGGGTGTTTCTTTGTAAACCTTGGACTAGAGTTGGGGGGGAGGAGGGAGGGCGAGGTTTCAGAAGGAAAAACACAGCTTGTCTGCGTCTTCCTTCGTCCTCTCCCAGGCCCATTCTTTGTCTTAGCTAAACACTTGTTGGGCATTTTTTTTTCCTAATAAAAAGTTTCGAATATATTAAGGGGCGCCCTCGGTGGGACGCAAACTTCCCTCCCCGTAGGGTCACAGTGAAATGAGTAAAAGGGAATAGAGAGGAAGATGTAGCTTGGCTAGAGTTTGCCACAAAGAGATGAACTTTCTAAAGTTGTGCGCCGGCTGGTTTTGTTTTGTTTTAAAGATTAGGGAACAAAGCCTGAGGGTGGGGGAGGAGAAGAGCCAGGGCCTGATTAGCCAGTCCCCACTGAAATTCGTGCCCTTCCACCTTTTTCCGAGGCGCTAAACGATTCCCAGCCAGAGACCCTGGTGGTGAATGGGTTGGCCTCGATGTCCTCTGACGTCGTTTCCAACACTGACATTTTTTTTCTGATTCTGCGGATCGCACTTTAGAGTTTTCTCTGCAATAAAAAGGAGGCTGAGGACGGGCAGGAAAGCGGCCGGCGAGGGCGCAAGCTGCTCTGACCGAGGATTTAAAGGGAGGCCGCAAACGTTCTGGGAAGCGATATTTCTTCCCCAAATAGCAAAGGAAGCTTTACATAACAACTGAAACTCAGAAGGACAACTAATTGGATTAAGCCCCCTGAAAGGGAGGTGAAGGTTCTTGAACCAGCCAGAGCAAATCTTCACTTTCCTGACCATCTGCTTTGCGCCTCTCAACTGGTACCTGGCTGGAGGCTCTGGGTGCGGCCGGCCGCCAGTTTTCATCCCCACCCCCTTTCCCGCATATTCACAAGACGGACCTGAAGAGCAAGGGGCCGGCGGCGAGGGATCCACGAGAAGGACACCCGGGTGGGGAGCTATGCAGATGCGGGAACGGACTAGGGGAAGCTGCTCCGGGGGGAGGGGGTGCAGTGGGAAGGTCTACTAGAACACTGAGCAACTTTGTGAAACTTTACGTCCAGAAGGAAGAAGGGAGGCTCAGGCACAGTGAGCCTCAAAGTGAGCCAGATAACATAAGGCAGCTGAAACAGAATCTGCAAGAGAGCTCACACTGACTGATTAAGCTAAGCAACCCCCGTGGAGCAGAGGAAACGCTCTGGCCTCCGGGCCTTTACCACCTAACTCCGCACTGCCTGAAACTTAGCAGGGAAATTTGGGGGTGTATCCCCCCCCCACAGCCACACTCACATCCAAGTTAGTGTCATGGTCTTTGCAAAGAATCCCTAAGATCTCTTTAGCTAAAAGCTGAGCCCCCCCCATTATAAAAGGAAATTATGGGGGGGGGAATACATGCAGACACACACAGAGTGAGAGAGGAGGAAGGGGGGAGACAGTGAGGGGAGAGAGAGAGACAAAAAGAGAGAGACACAGAGAAAAACAGAGAGAAGGAAGGAAGGAAAGAAGGAAGGAAGGAAGGAAGGAAGGAAGGAAGGAAGGAAGGAAGGAAGGAAGGAAGGAAGGAAGGAAGGAAGGAAGAAGGGAGGGAGGGAGGGAGGAAGGCAGGAAGGCAGGAAGGCAGGAAGGGAGGAAGGAAGGAAGGAAGCCGCACGCGCAGATAAAGCTTCTTTCCGAGCTCCTGAAGGACAACACGCTCTGACTTACCCCTTGCCACGTCTGTGTGAGGAAAAAGCTTAGAGGCAATTGAGCAATAATATTTCAGGGTCCGACTGAGTGTCTGGAGAAGACGAGTGTCTCGCCTGCAAACTGTGTCCTTGCAAACCGCTGGTTGCCCACAAATTCCCTCGGCTGGGCCCGCATCTCTAACAAGCCCCGCTTGTTCCACTTTCCTCTTGCCAACCGGCGTGGGCTGGGCAGCAACTAACTGTTCTTCCCCTTACTGAGTTCTCAAGTTTCCCAAGGAACCGATACTCTACTGTGTAGCGGGCTCACTTCGACTCCCCGCCGGCCGGGGTGCGCCCGCAAGCGCGAGTACCTCCCCCCCCCCAGGTGCGCTAGAGGTTAGACTGACCTCTGAGGTCCCTTCCAGCCCCAGACTTCTGGGATCCTGAGAAGGGGCTCACATGGTGTCCGAGTTCCCACTAATCTAGTCCCTGAAGGCTCAAGGTTGGGACCCTCTCAGCAGGGGTAGTACATGAGCTGCGATCAGGCTGTATTGGAGGCTAGAGTCGGGGGAAAGTTCTCCCTGCCCCTACCCCACCCCCGCTGCCCCATTGCATTACATAGAAGAACCAGGACTCGCTGGCATCCAAGGATGATTTCTACCATATATCCAACCAACAGGCAGAAACTGGAGTGGGGGAGAGGGAGGAGGTGAGATGTCCAAGGGTCACTTGCTCTATTTCTCCATTCGTATATTTTGCTCTGTTTTTCCCTACTTCTGAATAACTCTGGGGAGTCGGGCGGGAAGTGTTTGGGGAGCGGGGACACGTCTTCGAAAGGGCCTTGTGATGTGGTGCCCCAGTTGCTGGAAGGGCCTGGGCGGTGTACTGGTGTCCCCGTTCTCCCCCCTCGGCTCCCGCTACCACGACCTGCAGTCCCACTCGGGGGAAGGTCCAGATCTTGGGTATTCAGCATCCCAATACCAGAAGGGACGGGGCGGTGGGGGGGGGGAGGACCCGAGCTGCCAGACCAGCCTTTTCCCTTAGGGGAGAAAGGTGGAGGAACGCAACGGAAAAAGTCGAGTCAGTCTGAAAGGCACAGAAAAAGAAGTGCCCTTGGGGAAGTCGGGGAAAAAGTGTAGAAGGGACCTCCTTAAGGAGAGCTACCCTATCCTCGCGAATAAGAAAATGCAGATCGTTGCAAAGGATTTAGGAGAACCTTGTCTCTATCACCGTGAACTGCCCCCCCCAAGAAGCCAGCACCTTAAAAGTACCATCCAACAGCCGTCGAATTTTGAGACAGAGCCCTGCCCGTCCCGTCCCTGTCCCTGAGAGTTGGCGTGTCAATACTCTTCTGATCACCACCCCACCCGCCCCCCAGCCGTATTGCCTTAACTGTACTTCCTGGGCTCCGCACCCCACTTCCCTGGTCCTAGGGAGTTTGAGGGGATGCTTAAGGAAACTAGCGAAGTGGTTTCCTCCAGCTTCTTGCCGGTCCGAAAACCCCTGTTTCTCCGAGCGGCCCTGGCCAACACACAGACTCCCGGAGAGCATCTCCATCTGCCGCCGCCGCTTATGTCAGGACTTCCCGGACCGAGGTGAGCATTCCCCACCGCCGCCCCCTTCTCCCACTCCGCTCTCGCCCGGGCCACCTCTACATCCTCCCACCCTCCGCAAAGTCGCCTCCACGTTCCTGCTCACACCCTGCCCTACGAGAATAAGCCCCTTAAAGAGAGGGGCTCAGGGAAGAGCGGTTTGCCTGCAGCTTGGAGGTGGGGTGGGGTGGGGTGGGGAGAGGCCGGGGCGGTAGGGAGACACGAGTTCTCTCAAAGGATCTGCAAGTAACACCCAAGTAAAGTCAACACATTTCGAAGAAACTTTGGTCCCTGCGGAGCTCAGCGCGCGTTCCCTCTCTAGATAACACACCGGATGCATTGCACATCATAAGAGCGACTTTTAGCTTGGTCTCACTGTCAAGTTGATCCTTTGAACGGATCACAATCTAAAATCTCTCTCTCTCTCTCTCTCTCTCTCTCTCTCTCTCTCTCTCTCTCTCTCTCTCTCTCTCTCTCTCTCTCTCTCTCCCCACTTCACATCTCCCCCCCCAAAAAAAAGAAGTTGAACTAACCTGTAGAATCCATGTCAGGTTCCTCCAGTAACCCACAATGCATGCTCTTCCCATGGACAGTACCGAAGCCCCCCAAAAAGTCCTGAGGTTTGGAGATCCCCTGTCTGAGAGTGAGGGGAGGGAGAAGGGAAAGAGAAAAAGGGTAAAAGAGAAAAAGAAAGAAAAAGAAATATAAAGGAAGAGAAAGAAAGTGAAGAGAGAGAAAGAGAGAAATAGGAGAGAAAGGGAGGGAGGGAAAGAGTGGGGAGAGAGAAAGCGAGAGAGAGGGGACACTTAGTAATCCAGCAGGGCAAAGCCAAACCCGTCAAAATGTTTGCGGATGTTCATGGGAAAAAGCATCATTTTATAGGAGCCCTGATGGGAGAAATGTCATTGATAGGCCGGCCAGCCTGATGAATGGCTGCTAGTCAGATGGGGATGTGGCCCGGCTCGATGTGAAGCCCATTGTGGCGCTGTTTTGAATAAGAAAAGCTGCCTCCGAAAAGGGGGGCTTAGATCTACGCAATCCCAACCCTTCGACTTCCCCCTTCTATTACAGCATTAAAAACGTTTTCTTATTTAAAGTTCCAGAGGCCTGCCCCCCAGCCTTAGGCCCGAGACTCATTATAGTCCAAATCAAAATTGGCTTAGATCTGGCCCCCTTACCCCCTAGTCCCCCAAAGTCTCCTGCGCCGGCCTTTAATCAAATGTAGGGAAGTGGATCCCAGGGGCTGCCCCCCTCCTGCAACTGGGAAGCTGAAGAAGCAGGCCAGGGTCCCTCCTCCCTGTAGCCCGGACCTCCTCCGCCCCCCACCCCCAAACGTCTGAAGTTGGGTGTCTGAGAACCACAGCAGGCCCCGGAGCTAGCGGGCCCCACAGTACCTCGGTCTACCCCAATACCTCTCCCCCTCCCCGCTTCGTTTGTATGTGCATGGGAGGGGGATAAAGGGAGCAGCCTGGAGTACCCCCCAACAAGAGCGGGAGAGGTTTCCCTGACTTGATGCAGTGGCGCCCATCTCTGGGTCGAGCCTAACAGGCCCCGCATGGTGGCGTGGTGCGGAGGCGGGAGGGCTGAGGGCAGGCCCGAACCCAGGGCCCTGGGGGAGGGAGAGTGGCCCCAGCAGCGGAGGAACTTTCTTTCTCACCTTGCAAAGGAAAAAGACTTTCCTCCGCCTTCTGCGGGAGCCAGGGATCTCCCAATCTTTTTTCCTATGTCCCCCTCCATCCCCGCACCCAGTCTAGAAGTTTGTAAGGAGCCCGGACCGTTACCTTAAGTGGGAAGGAGGGTTTCCCAGGCACTGGCACTGGCTGCCTCCCTCCCCCCCTTCTCCTCTCCCCCCTCCTCCCCTTCCCCCTCCCCTACCCAGCTCAGCTAGCCGGGCTTCAGGAGTTGAATGTGCAGAAAAGGGGCTGGGGGGAGGGCTTGGGCCGGGCCGGGTAGGGGAAAGGGAGGGGGTGTGTGTGGGGGGGTACATGCTGGAAGTGGAAGCAAAGTGCAAAGCCGGGATCTCTGCAGCCTAGGATAAAGTGGCTGTTTTAGGGAAGGGAAAGCTGTGATTAGAATATGAATAGAGCCCCAGGAGAGGAAGAGAAAGGGGATTACAGCTGAATTACTTTGACCATGGACAGAGGCAACGTTTTCTAGGGCCCCAGACTCTCCCCCTACCCCGCCCGCCTCCGCCCTCAAATAAAAAGGAAGAGAAGGGGGGAGGGTTGGGGGGAAGAGGGAAGCACCCAAACCCCAACCCAGCAAAACAGAGCCCGTTGCTGCCGCTAAAGAGGGAGGGGGGAGGAGAGAGAGAGAGAGAGAGAGAGAGAGAGAGAGAGAGAGAGAGAGAGAGAGAGAGAGAGAGAGAGAGAGAGAGAGAGAGAGAGAGAGAGTTTAGGAGGTGGGGCATTTTTTGGGGGGTAACTGGAGGGAGAAAAAGGGAATTGAGATTATAGCAAGTTACCAACTGTTTTTAATCCATTCTCTAACCTCGAAAGGCAGCCTAGTTTCAATTCAAGTGTCTTGGACCTGGATGAAGTCTGGGGACCTGGGTTCCAATCCTGACCTTACGAGCATCCCTGGTCTGGGCCCCAGTTCCCTAATTACAAAAACAGGGGCTTGGACTAGATTAGTTCTAAAACCCCTTCGGCTCTCATGCAGACCTGAAGCCCAGGGCAAGGCTTTAACCTCTGAGCCTCACTTTCTTCTCCTGCAAAATCAGGTTGGATCAGACAAAGTCTGATCCTGCAACCTCGGCCAGTCACTGCACCCACCTCCCGCCTCAGCCCCAACCACAAACGGGGAAAGCAGGAAGGATGGTGGGTGTGTGTGTGGTGTATGTGTGTAGGGGTCATTGCATAACTGGGTGAGCTAGAGAGGAGGGCAGCCCAGTGGTGCCCAGTGACCACACCAGGTGCTCAGGAGGCTTCGATTTTCCTGGCCAAATTCTGGCCACGTGAAGGTGCTGATGTGGGGAATGGGGGGGGGAGGAATAGAGAGTTTGTCCTAGATGAAAGCATGAAAGCACGGTAAAATCATTCTTATTAGGGGGAGGAGCAAAGGCAAAACAATGGCCAAGTGGAGAGAGGGGAGCTCTCAGATTTAAGGACGGAGAGTGGAGAATCAGAGGACCAGGGTTCAAATCCTGTCTCTACTACCTACAACACATGACAATAAGGACTGCACCTGTGATTTCACCAGTAGGATATGAAACTCCCGGTTGAGGAAAGTCTCTCTAGAAGTGCAGGTCAGCACATCTTCTAGAAGTTGCCTAGGTATGGTTAAGTGACCTGTCCAGTTACAGGGGCAGTATGTATCCGTGGTGGAACTTGAATCAGGGTCAGCCAGGAAAGACCAACTCTTTACCCACCACATCAAGTTACCTCTCTCTCTACCTACTCGTCATTCCACTGTCCCAGACTGTTATCTCAAAGGTTTTGGAGGCAATATAGTACAAGGAAGCAACACTGGCGACTATGAAATCTGAGGACCTCAGTTCAAATCCCACCTTTGATGATCACTGCCAGTTACCTTGGGCAATCCCTCCCTCTCTCTGGGACTCAGTTTCCCCATCTGTAAAATAAGGGAGTTCGATTAGATAGGTTCCCAGGTCGTTTCCAGCTCAAGATGTGTATTTTTACAGGTCTTCCTGACTCCAAGCCATATATCACTTCAGTGTAATTTAGCACCTCACTTGAGGCACTGATTATGCCCATTTTGAAGATGAGGAAGCTGAAGCTGAAGGGGTAACTAATTTGCCCATGGTCACAGAGCTAGTAAGGGTCAAAGGGTGGATTTGAACCCACATCTTTTTGACTGCAGGCTTAGTGCTTTTCCCACTTTATCCAAAACCTCCAGGTTGAGAGAGTTCAGTACTTGGACAGGAAGATAATCTGAATCTCACTGTTAACGGTTCGACTTGTGAAATGGGGATTTATAATCATCGCAGTCCCTACTTCTCGGGGTGGTCTGAGGCTCAAAGGAGATCAGAGCTGTAAAGCAGTCATGCTTTCAATCATTTTATAAATGTTAGTTGTCACTGCTGCCATAATCCACTGCACTTTGCTGTCACCTTTTCAGTAGACCGGAGCATTGTAATCTAGGGCAAGGCCCTTCCCTGTGCCTCAGTTTATTTGTTTGTAAAATGAGGGAGGTGGGGCTTAGAGTCCTGTGATGGTGGGGCCCCCTCAACTCCTTTTTCCCAATTCTCCCTCGGCCAGGTCCCCAGCCCTGACAGGTCTCTTCCATAGCATCCCAACCTAGCTCTCTCAATCCCCTGGATCAATGGAGATAACCCTCTAGTGCCATCTGTAACCTCAGCACCTGATCCCCACTGCCCCCATCCCCAGCCAGGAGATGGTTGGGGACATTTTTCAAAGACTTAAGAACTGCCATCATGAGTCACTGGGTCACATAGGTGGTCTAGCCATGTCAGCACTGCAAGCAGTCAGGTTTTTGTCTAGAGACTTAAAACAATTAGGACTCTGCTACTAATATTGAATTCAAGTCAACAAGTGTTCATCCATTCATCCATTTATTCATTCAATAATATCACCACCTCTCAACACAGTACTAGGCACATTATAAACACTAAATGCTTCTCTTCCTCCCCCCATCCCTCTTTCTTCTCCTCCTCCTCTTCTTCCTCCCTCCCTCTCCCTTCTCCCTCCCTTCTTCTCTATCTCTGTCTCTCTCTGTCTCTGTCTCTCTCCTTTCCTCCCTTCCACCCTCTCCCTCTTTTCTCCTCTCCTCTCCCCCTCCTTTCCTCCTCTTCTTCTTCTTCTTTTCACACACCTTGCCCCAGGTTACATGAATTTAGGGTTAGTTAGAATTGAGCTGAGATTTGAACCCAGATCATGAGATCAACTATGTTGAGCTACAAAGGGTCTCAGAGGACACCAGGTCCCATGGCGGTCATCAAGCCAGCAGCTAAGGACCTTAGAGACCACCTAATCCCACCCCTTCATTCTACAGGTGAGGAAGTATCAGACGACCTGGATTTGAATCCCAGCTCTGTCACTTGCTATGTGACTTTGGGCAAGTGTTTTTACCTCTCTGGGCTTCAGTTTCCTCTTCCGTAAAATGAAATGGTTGGGAAAAAATGGCCTCCTTTTAGCTCTACATTTATGACTCAAATGACCCAAAATTTTCTGTCTGCTTTTGCCTTTTCTGGTCTTTGGTGCTTCAAAGTGCATCATATACCATAGTGCTTAAAAACTGTCTTGTTCATTGATTGAGAGCACAGCTATGAAAGGCAACTTGCAGAGAGAGCCAGTCTTGGAATTAGGAGGACTTGGGTTCAAGTCCTGCCTTTGTGTGACCTTGGGCCCCAAGCCACTCTCTAAGACTCTAAACTACAGAAGAAGTGGCAATTTGCATTAGTGGATGAGCGTTTCCACACCAGGAATTCCCTAAACCAATGAAATGCCAATCTCTCCTCACCCCATGCCAGGTCTTATTCCAGGGGCTATGGACAGAGGCACAAATCCTTGTTGTATGAAGCTTACAATCCAGCAGAAGAGACAAGATACGTACACAAATCCATAGAATACAATCTAAATTTTAAGTGCACTGGAAATGTCTCAGTGCCAAGAGACGGATTTCAGAAGGGAGAGAGCAGCAAGCTACTTTTTTGCACCTATGCTATGCAAAGTCCCGTAGGGGATATCTATAGATCTATAGATCTATATTGGCTCATAGACTGAGAGCGGGGA